CACACACACACACACACACACACACACACACACACACACACACACACACACACACACACACACACACACACACACGTACGTCCTAGAACAGAAGAGGTCAAACATCATGCAGGGAAATCCCTTCTTGCAGGAATCTCAGTCCAACATCAGTGCCCGGTTCTCAAGGAGCTACTGTCTTTATGAATTGATGCTAATCCGAGACTAAAGCAGACAGTAAATTCCTCTAGCTGCTTGCACAGCTTCCTCCATGCAGAAATTGTCTCTAAACAGAACTTTGCATAGCCCAGAACCTAACAACACTGCTTGTCTTCCCAAGACTGAACACAAGAAAAAGAATTTGGAAAACTGTGCAACAGCACTATCTGGTGACATCTATCATAAGTGTTTTACAGTATGTGCCATATTGGACTTTTCCTGCACAGCCCAAGTGAGGAGTGTTTGCATTAATGGGTGCTGCTGCATGGCCGAGTCTAGTTTACTCTTAATAGGCCAGAATGGGGATTGGGTAGCTGAGCATTTCATTAGTAAGATGTAGACTGAACATATGTCTCTTTAGACTCTTGAGAGTAAGGGAGCAGAAGCACAATCTGCTTGAAACTCATCACAGTAAGCAGGATGGGTGCCTTGTGTTTAAACTTAATTGCACCACATGTAGCTTCTGCTCAGACCTCTACTGAAGCACAGCAATTTTATGCTGCCTGCTGCATCCCACATCAGGATTTGCAAGTTCATAGTTATAACGTCATGATGAACTTTTGCAGCAGTTCTTTACAAAAATGAATGAGTTTTTCAAACAACGGACAATACACACACACAGACATAAAAATGAAAGAATATTTCAGGGCCTGATTCTGATCTCTTACTGAGGTAACTCAGAAACTCCCTGGAAATCAGTGAGCCAGTTAAGATCAGTATCAGACCCTCAGTGTTTTACAACAAGGATTTTGAAACAATTGATTTTTTTCTTAATTTTAAAAAAATGAAATTATGAATAATTTTATTTATATTCAACGAGAGTGTACCACTTTAAGAGAATTACTTTCTCTCATTTCCTGCTGAATTCTAGGCTAAAGATTTATTTATTAGGAGTGATATTCTGGCCCCAGTGAAGTCAACAGGAGTTTTGCCATTAATATCAATAGAGCCAGGATTTCACCTCAGAGAGACAGCATAGATGTCTATTCCAGTCATGCTTCCTATTGGCTCTTTGTCTCTGTAGACCTGCGGCTTCGGTGTCTTTGTACTTGGCAGGGCTGCTATTCTGAAATGACCCTTCTTGAGGCATGGAAGACAAGTTAACAAAATCTTCATTAATTGTGTCCTCTCATCTCAAAAGTTATTGGTTCTGCACCAATGTTATTAGCTTGTTTTATTTGCCAATTCAACTACTGCTAGTTTACCTCTTTATCTAGTGCCATAAACAGGTCATAAGCACCTAGGTCAACAGATAACAGAAATGCCTTTTCAAATCTCTGAACAAGTGGCAGAAGAAGGTCCATGCACTGTCCTTCATCTGGGTCATTATATTTCAACACAGTTGTATTCGAGAAGAATTGTGTTGGATCATAAAAGGTTTCAAGGCATTCCTCAAGTCTGTTTCTGTCTCTACTGTTAGTTTTTGTCTTAGAAGTTGTTTGAAAATGGCGCTTATGCGTCTGTAATACTGAGGGCCATCCTCCTCTCTTGGGGAGGAGCTGTCATCAAGGAGCTAGTCTAGGATTCTAGAGATCTGCCACAGACTTCATGTGACCTTGGGCAAGTCATTTAGTGTCTCTGTGTCTCAGTTCCCTGTATTATTAGAGGATAACAGCTCTTCCCTTCGTCAAAGAGGTGTTTTGAGGATACATAAATTACAGATGTTGAAGTGCTCAGCTACTTTGATGATGGGTACCATTTAAATATCTAAAATAGAGATATCATCATAACAGCTGTAGGTGGAAAATGGCCCCTACAAAGTCCAGTTGTTCTCTTGTGATGACACCAAGTTCAAACAGCAATACAACCTGCTGACAAACCTATCAGACAGGTTTTCTGAATATCAATCCTGCTGATGTTCTGAGATGCAACTTCAGGAATTGTCCATTGTATCTCAAATGAGGTTGCTGGACACGTCAAACTGTTATTTGAACTGCAGAATTGCCTTTGCTATGCAAGCTTCAGCCTCAAACTGCATTGAAATAGGGGATAAGTGCCATGTTAAAGATCTGCAGTTCCCCTGAACAGAGTGGCTAACCAGAAATGTAGCTCCATTCAGGAAGCTGCTTATTAAAGCAGATTCTACCTGGGCTAACATAGGCATTCTGCCATGGGCTTCGCAAACAGAATTGTTGAAATCTCTTCACCAAAACCAGTTTGACTCTAGAGAAAGTTCCTGTGGTAGCTGATAAACTGCACAGACATCTTTTTAACACTGGGGATTTTTTTAAGAGTTGAAAGAATGCAGTGTTCTGTCTAAAAAAAAAATTAGTCTGTGCCTTTGATTGGGAGTGATGGAGTGTGGTGGTGGGCGGGGGAAAGAGGAGTGGAATTGGAAAAGAAATAGATTTAACTTTCAAGCTTCCAATGAGTTGAATTTTAAAAGATTTTTACAAAAATTAAAAATTCCCTGACCCAGTCCTTTCAGAGAAAAGCTGTGTAGCATTTCCAGTATCCCAGGTTTTTTTTAAAGTTTTGTATTGCATAACTGAATTTAAGAAATGTTGCAAATAAATATGTGTTGCTCATAGTGCACTTTGCAAGTTGGTAAGCAGTTAATGCTTTCTAATTGCTTTTTGCAGCTGACGATGGGTGTCTAGAAAACACACCAGACACAGCAGAGTTCAGTAGAGAATACCAGCTGCACCAACACCTTTTTGATCCAGAACACGACTATCCCAGCTTCGGCAAGTGGGTAAGTAAACTATTCTTATTTATTATGACTGCTGGGTCTGCTAAATGGTACCACACAACTGTAAGGAAAAAGCTATGGGTTCCTTTTGCCTGAAAAAAAGAATCATTTGAAAGGAAACTTCTTAAAGAGATTGTACCTACACCTATTTAAAACGTCAAATTAATGGCAAAGAAAAAGTGAAAAATATATTACTGATCAAAAGGCAATGAAAATTACAGAAAATAGAAGCCTCTAGCTTATCACCTGTCCTAAAGCATGATGATTATGAACCTGATAAATCCAATGACCCACTAGTACTTGTAGAACAAATCAAGAAATCTCATACATAGTTGTAACTCTTTTAGTTTAGCTAAACTTATGCTAAACCAGCTTTCCATATGCAGATATTGATAAACGGACGTGCTTGGCAGCGCCTTCTCTTGCTGTAATCACGAGACGATGATACATCATTTAGGACCAGCCCAGTTTAAGATTTATAGCCTTAATTACTTCACTTATATGATCCCTAAAATTCTAGACAGAGTCAAGCCAAAAATCCAAATATTGGAAACTCTTATTGAAGTCTAAATAATTAGCATCAAAGGTTGTAATATTAAAAACACCAGATGGTGAACTCACTTTACTATTTATGCCAGATAACATTGTTAGTTTTCTTATTATTCATAAGTAATTTATTTTCATAATGCCACTTTGAAGACTATAAAAACATGTCTGCAAGTTTTTGGACTATAACAATATGTCAGAACCAGGGTACATCATACTAGGTTGTCATTAATGATATACGCTTAACAAATTGTGGGAAATCATTAGTTAATATTGTAAGATACCTTATCTTGAGCTTTGTTGGGTTATTTTTTTAGTTTTCCATCAGTTACTACTAGTTCAGGAAGAAACTTCCCACATATGGATTAAAACAAATTGTTTGCTCCCCAACCAAAATTATATGAGGCAGCAGCAAAGCCAAGTCCAGATCTTTTTAATTAGAGATGAAACAGCTGCTAATATCCATGGTCAAATGTTCTGTTGAGATCCAGGATAGTTGCCCCAATTGCTTCCTCATCATACATTGCTATATATTAAAATGATAAAGAAATGCAGCGAATGCTGCTGTTGTAAGTGGATTTTACTCTGGGAGAATTATAGCTGAAGGGCAGTCTAAACATTATCTAACTGAGATTTTAAAAATAAGAGCCATGTGATGAAGTGGTACAGGCCATTCGGTTTTAGGTCATTGTTTGGAATCTGGCTTAGATATGAAGTGAATGACCAAAACTAGCTGTTCATAGCCTGTGAGTTGTCCGGTACACAACTGTGTACACCCACATCCTTTGACTCCCCCCAATATTACCATAGCTGCCTTTAGTTGACACATGCGTTGGCAGTCTCAGTAGGGGGGCCAAGGACGGTATAGACATAAGGGGTAAAATATTGTATTATTCTAAACCAGATTTCCCCAAATGATCTATGTTACAGGAGGTTGTAGATTCCTGTAACTAAGAATCACTGCACCCCAATACCCATAGAGTCAGGGTATCCTCTATATCAGCACAAAACCTGGCCCACTGTCAAGGCCACGTAAGGGCAGGGACCACTGCCTAACCCAAGCCCCTTTTTTGATCTTGGCACCACTGGGTCAGTGAACTACACTGTTTGTGCTCCCTTTGTCAGCTCCCAGAGCAGACAGACAGCATGTGTTAATATTAATAATCAAAGACAAATGATAGTTGCAGGTTAAATAATGTTGATTTGTGTATGAAAGAGAGGGAAGAAATTGATTTTAAACAATAAAATAACTTACTTGAGTGCTTGTGTAGTTGTATATCACTTGTGTGTGTGTGTGAGGGAGAGACTGTTACTTCAAGTCTGAAAACATAATTTATAAAAGTTAAATAATGGTAGAAATAACCTCATATGGCAGAGTCCACAAGTCCATGTTTGTGCCAAATCTATATAGTTCAGTTATTTAATGGGGATACTAATATGTAAACAATGATAAACTTATCTGTTCATGTATAAGCATGTGTCAATTCATATTTTTTTGTCTGAAATGGAAACATCCATAGGTTGGCTTGTTCACTTCCAGCTCTTATAAATAGTGATCTTTATGCTTCAGAGGGGAAGGGCTCCTAAAAGTATGATGAATTAATGTTTCTTGCCATGGAGAAAATGCTTTCTTTTTCCTTTCCAGCCATAGACCTGAGGCTGGTGAGACAACTGAGATCACATGAGTCTGGTGGCTCCTGCATGTAACTACTGGTTCTCCGATCTCCTAGCTTCTGGCCAGAGAATGTTTTCTTTTTTTCCTTTTTCTTCTGGTCAGACCTTCTTTTGCAATAGGGAAGTATTTTCCGTCTGGATTCGGCTTCTCTCTACCCTATAGCTTATCTCTTAAACTGGTGGCATCGATCTAGAGAGGTGCATTAGCTGTTGCTGGCTACCAGAAAAACTTCCACTGAGACGATTTAGTCTTTCACATTGGAATATTTCTTAGACTGGCTGACACCAGAAGTTTTAAACATGCTCATGCTGTAGGAGGCAAGGAAAAAGAAGAGGCAGTAGAGTTCAGTCAGGCAATCTGACTCATAATGATACATATGGAGAATTAAAAGACAATGACATTTTTTAATAACATTTGTTTGTACTAAATAACATGAATTTCCACCTCATCTTGAGGCTAGAAACAGGGCTGGTTTAGTTTATCAGTTAGAGTGGGTGGACCAGAGCCAGTTTAAAAAAAAATAAAAAATGGAGAGCAGGAATGTAAGTGCACCAGAAGACAGAGACCTCAATATGAAAGAAATTGTCATCCCTGATCCTTAGATCTTGTTGAAAGCCTGTAGCTAGCACTTTATAGATTTCTGTTTGTACTGACTTTTATTATGTTTACTTAATATCGAAAGATGGTGGGAAGCAGAACAGTATAATATGATAGCTTAATCTCATCCTGATGGAACTGGCGTCTCCAAGTGTTGAAATGAGCAAAGGTGTAATTTTTGGACATCTCAGAAAGATCAGTTTTTTGCTTTTAAAACTTGACCTGGGGTGGTGACTTTGTAACCCACACACCTCCTGGGTGTGGTGTTCTGTCCCATCTAGTGGCACCAAGACCACTTAGAGAGAGAGAGTTAAATGAGTCTGCTCTACAGCCCTAGCTAACAGCCAGTTGGCTTTCACCTCATGTGGTAGAGGCTCATGCACTAAGTTCCAGAGGTCCCCAGTTCAATTCTGCCCGCCGACAACCAGGGTCTGTTGCGTTACACCTTTGTCTCCCAGAAAGATGTCTCTCCCACTCATCAGGGATGGTTCTATGTAAGCAAGTGAGGGTGAGGATCTTTTAGTGAATGGGCGAAGGATAGCTGTTCATATTTTTATGGTAGCCCTGTCAGGCTAGTATAGCTGAAAGCAATTGCTGTTCAACAAGGGCAGGTGGCATGAAATGTTACAAAAGAGGTGTAATTCACAACTGAGTTAGAAGGAGGGATTCTCATCAATTTTGACACTGCTTGCTCACAAGAATAGAACCATTGAGCAAAACATAGGGATGGTGTGATTGCAGTACTCCCTGCCATTTGGCTTTTCATCAGTGGATTGTCCATCTAAAGAACAAGGAGTTTGATCATTTTTCAGCCTGATTTTGAAGGCATTTGGATGTTTTAAAATAGATTTTTAGAAATGTATGTACACAGTTATATGTGCATTTCTGTGGTAATTGTGCATGCTACCTGCCTGTTATCAAATAACTGACTTACAGCAATTGTAATAATCAGGAGCACCAATTATGTGGACACATTTTTGCCCAAGCACATTTCTAAACATTGGGGCAGCAATAATGATTATTAGGAAGGGTTACATCAAGGGTTGTTGACCCTTTTTAATGCTGGACAATAACAACAGATTATTCAATTCAATGTGGTATATTTTTATTTGGTACTGTACATAAAACTTCAGACATGAAGACTATGTGACCTGGAGATTCTGAATTGAATGATAAAAAGTATTCCTCAAGGTAGTAAGTGTACTGCATTGCTATTGCATTTTTCCTTTAAGTAAGTTCTGCTAAATGGTCATGTAAATCCAAAGCATGGAGGTGGGCAACCCCATTTGCTTGAAATTATCACCAATGAGATCTAAGGAGAGATTCCACCCCCCCATGCAGCCATCTATGGCATTAGCCAGGTTGGTTACAAACATCATAATTGAGTACTTAGGCCCAAATTCAGACCTTAATGCCCAGACTGAATAACTGGGCTGGATGCTAGGGAAATGCACAGGGAGAAGGGGAAGGCAATCATCCACCCACCAGGTTGTATGAGCTGTATGCTGCTCTGAGGCCCAAACACATACGCCCCTTCACAGGCACATATTTTCAGATTTGCTGTTACTACATGAACCCAATCTTAGATCATGCTCCATAACCCTATCTGCTCTGTGCTACATATTATACTTAAATGGAAGTTATGGTCTTAAATCATTTCCAAACAGACTAAACAAAATATGATCTTGTTGAGCAGGAACAGTTCAATTGTGAGGAATTTTCCTGCCTGATACGAGTGTTAGCTTTAGTAGCCATGCACTTTTTTCTATGACAGAAACCCTCCCCTCCCCCCTAATGAAAAGTATAAGGTCAAACAGTGTATGAAGATAAACTGCAAATGATGTGCTGATTCCTACAGGGAATAATTTACACATCTGCCTTTTTTAAAATGTTAAATTGAAGTTTTCCCCAAGTGAGTTTGCATAAATGATTGTAGCCAAGAATGTCTCTCTTTGGCCAATTTCCTCTCTGTTCCTTTGCCTTTCTGGCACACCCCAGATGAAATAGTTGAGGTTGGGCAAGAGATATGCCTTGTGAATTTGGGTTTAATGAACATGAAATGTACAAAACAGACAGTTTTGGCAGATGTCATTGTAGCTTGCTAAAATGTTTGTTTTTCTCATATCAAGGCTGCACAGAGGGTAGAAATGTTTTATGAATTTGTCTCTCATCTTCTATTTATATGATCAATGTTAGGTCAGTTGTTTATAACAGAATTAATGGCATTGTTTATATAGTGTTTGCCTTTAAAAATGTAATTCTTCTCTCACTGCATTTTCAGGTTGCTTCTTTTTTTTTCTTTTTTCTAAAGTATAATCAGAATTGAAACAAAATCTGTTGAGCATGTGTCTGATATTCCAGACCTTATTTGAGTTCACTACTTGTATGAAATATAGCAATATGTGGAAACACTTATAAAAACTGTGGTCACAAAGTCATATTTTTTTCCTCATCATAACTTTCCTTTCTGCCAAGACATTTTTTGGCAGATTTTAAAAGGTTCACTCTATTAAAAATGTTATAGACCAAATGGTTTTTAGAAACTTTATTGGGGGGCACTATTTAAACAAAGGAAGGATTGGGCACTGAAAGAATTTCAGCAGAACTTCTTTGCATAGAGAATAGTAAATATGTGGAATAAAATACTCACAGAAACAGTATGAGTGACTAAGATAACGATTTTTTTAAAGGAATTTGGAAAGCATATATAAAGAAAAATATTGAACAGGTACAATTACCATTTCAAAAAAAAGGAAGAGAGCTACAACAGACTGGTATCCCAGCTTCCTTGTATTTTTTAATTAATAATTTCCCTGCTCACTGAGGCCCTGTACACACACAAAAATTACAGTTCAGTATAACATCTCAGACTATCTAATATGCCTGTGTTTATAATTGTTGATGACACTGACTATCCCTGAAGAATAGCAAAATGTAGTATTAATAGCTACAGTAATCCAAATGTTTCCTTGTGGTTTATCTTTCCAATAACATGACATTCTGATCTAACTAGTTTCTGAAATGTTCATATGCTAATATTTAAATAATATAGTCTTGCTTTAAAAGACGAGTTAACCAAATTTGATCCATATTTATATTTTTTGTAGAATAAGAATTTACTCTTTGAGAAGATAAAGAGTGGACCACAAAAGAAGAAAAAGGGTAATTGTCAGAACGCAACTTGTTTTCATTTTAATATCTTGTTTCTGTGTAGAGCTGATGAAGATTAAAAAGGTAAAATCATATTGCTGAAATGAAGAATTGGACTAATACATCTGTATTATAACTTAGAATACTACTTCAAGTCAGGACATTGCTGTGATAAACTACAGTGCCTGGTTCCATAAAAGTCCACTAAGCCTAAATTTTATTATTCTATCGCAGCCAGTTGCATTGCATTCAGAAGATGTATTCAAGTGAAAAGCTTTCACGTAAAATCTAAGTATTATATTAACTGGCTTTTTAAATAGGTTTTATTTTGCATAGGAAATTATTTTGAATAACATGGATAATTTCTCCTTCAAGCTGACAGGTATGTGTAAAATCCATTGCCAATGCTAGATCCCTATAGAAAAGAATTCTGCCCTCAGATGCCTGCGTCAACATGCCGTAAGGGTGTAAATCACAGCAGATTTTGTCCCTATAATTGGTGTAGTTCCATTAATTTCAGTGAAGTTACTACTGATTTAACCCTGGTTGTGAGAGGAGAATAAGGAACATTATTCTGCATCCAGCTGTGTCACAAACACAACTGAATGGGTTCTTCTCCTGATGACTTAACACACAGTCCAGTGATCACGCAGAATTTTTGCACCCTCCATATCGCTAACCCCTGACTTCTCTCACTGCTCCTGTCCCTTCCTCTGTCTCAGAAAAGGTATTTATCATTCAACTTAGTTACTGCTGCATTTCTCTGTAAGAAGAAAATGGGACTTTGAAATTTAAATTGTATTTCCACACTGAAAAGTGACCTTGTAAAATACAGCATCAGGAGTTCCATATTTATTAGAAAATGAGTAGTTTTTATTTGGAATAATTGAAGCAGAAAGTAAAAAAATATTTCTAACTTCCTACCCTGCAATCTCAACCAGGAAGTCAGAAGTCAAGTTGAGTTCTTTCTGATTCACACATCACCAACAATAAACATTCTGCAATCAGAATTTAATAATCAATTCTGATGATTACTAGAATATCCTCCTCCCTATCCACCAGAAGAATATCCACCTCCCTCTCCTAAACTTGTGTTGGTTTTGCAGTGCTAACAGGGAGAAAAAGCATCAACGGATTGTAAGTCAGTAAAGTAAGCAGATGTGCCTCTGGGAGCAGATACGTGGCGTAGTTTTACATAGTAGAACTGCACTTCGAGATAAGATTAGTGAAATGTGCACATCAAAAAGAAAGAAAGATGTTCTCTGTTTGCATGCTGCCTGACTTAACAGGGAATGTAATGCTTATCATCCTCATATGAGAGGAAGGGTGGCTCAGTGGCTAGGTCACTAGCCTGGAATTTGGCAGACAAGGATTCAATTTTCTACTCTGCTACAGCCTTCCTATGTGACCTTGGGCAAGTTACTTAGCCTTTCTATGCCTCAATTTCCCATCTATAAAATGGGGATAATAGTTCCAGTGCCCTGTCACTCCCCCTTTTCCACTGACGAGAAGAGAATCAAGACATTAGCATTTTATTTAGATGATACTAAAGTTTCTAGTCAATCCTCTCATTTATTTCTACACCTTGAAGGATTGCAGAATAGGTACAAGGCCTTTATTCCTTTTAGTGGAATAGATTATTTTTTGCATTAAAGCTTATTTAGGGAAAAAATTGATTTATAAATATTAAAATCTTTCCCTGGGAGCGATTTGTTCTTCATGCACTGAGAAGAAAAATTAACAACCAGAGTATGAGTTTTAATCAATTCTTTTAAAATAAACTTTGTATGAACATTCCCCTCAAAGGTTTGTAAAGCTGCATGATGGAACTATATTATATCCTACTTTTACTAAACATTACAAATTAAGACCCTAATCACATAAACACTGTGAGCATGGGAATAATCCGTTGAGTTTATTTGATTTATTTTCCTGTTCAGATAAAACACATATAGTATATTACTGATCTGATCTGGTCTGGTCTGGTAGAAGCTTATTTTCCATATAGTGGAACTAGGCTATGCTGGACTGGAATCACTAGAGCAGTGACAAATACACTAGAGTAATCACATGGAGGGCACAAACATTCCAAGAGTAATGATATTGGCATGTCTGCTTGACTGACAGATCATTGGGAAGACAACCTATCAGTTTACATTGGACACTCAGAGCAGTAAAAATTGTTTTATATGTCCATTATTGCTAGTTACCCTAGGGATATGTTTTCTCATTCCTAATCAGTATCTTTTTAATTGAAAAAAAATTTTTTTTCAGAGTGTGAACCCATATCTGCAAGGACAGAGACTGGATAACGTTGTAGCAAAGAAATCTGTTCCTCATTTTTCAGATGAAGACAAGGGCACTGAATAAGCACAATAAAAATGAATGATGAAAACTCATGCCACCCTCCCGTAGATCATAATATTGCTTACATATAATCAGCTATTAAAATCCTTGCAATGGCAGCATGTTTATTATTTATATAATTGTGGATGAAAAACAGATGTATTTATAACATTGTTCTCCTGGATAATGAAAATATGATTCTGCTTTCTGTTAAATTATGGTAATAGGACCTTTTAGTTGTTTTTGTTTTCATCATGGAGTGAGTTTAAAAAATATTAGTCATTTTAGTAACTAATGTGAGTTAAATAGCATTAACCAGCAGCTTGTAAAACAGAAGATGATATAAAAAATTGCCCAGTTTAATTCCAGTGTTTATTCTTATATTTTCCCATGTTTGACACATGAAAATTATAGTTTTATTTTTTTTGTTTACAGATACTGTGATTTAACAAACTAAAGTAATGATAAATGTTGTTTTACTCAGATACTTTCAACTTTTGGTCTATTTTAATAAATATTCAAGCAATCTACAGTGTTTACAGAGTGACATTTTCCACAGTATTTGGAGGATAATCTGCCTTGGTTATTGCTGTGCTAACTAGAAAAGTGTGGTTTGAATCTACATACTAAAGTAATTTTCCTGATCAGTTTTTATCATTTCACTATCTCATCCTTCCCAGATACTCACTCACCTTGGCTACCTGCTGGTACTTCTCTAGTTTGCAGACTACGAAATCCAATGTTTGTTTTTTTTCCTGAGTGGCTACTGCATTTGTACATTTAAAAAGCGGCCCAATTCATACTCCTATGGAATGCCATGACTGAGGAAAATAACATTTGTGTATGATAACAAAGATCTCAGGTCAGATGTAGCTTATTTGTAAGTGGGAGGCTCTCCATTGTTTTTGGACATAAGGTGTCTTGTCAGCCTAAATTCCAGGTCATGGGCCCCTTCCATTAAAACAGGGATGATCTTATAAAAATCAGGACAGGTACCAACCCTACCTGGCCCCAACACAGCACTTTAAATATTCAGTATGACCCTTGGCCTAACCACAATACAGTCAATACAACTCTCATCATCAGTCAGCTGATTGGCAATCAACACATGCACCTGTAAATATCCAAACGGGGCTATAGTGCAGATGAGATTCCCAGCTGTAGGCTAATCAATAGGCCTCACCCTGGGCCTTCAATTTTACCAGTAGTCTGGCGATGGTAAACCCCATATCAGGCTATGTAAATTACTTGCTTTGCTGCAAGAGAAAAAAGAAAGGTGAAAAGGGACCACCATCTATTTCATGGGCATTTAATACTCCTGGGCAAGAAGCAAGGTGAAAACCTGTAGTCCCTGCGTAGCAGCCTAACCCTTGGTGTTCCACCACTGGTCTTAAAGTTGCAACTGGTTAGCTCACCTCAGAAGCCCTTGTTATGCTGGTGGAGGATGCTGTTTCCTTCCTAAACCAACAAATTGATATCCACCTTCTAGTCAGATGAGCTGTAATGGGGCCACCGGATCAAATGTTGTTACTTCTGGAAGCTATCTGGCATTGCTTTCCAACCCAACAGGCCACATTACACACTTGATATGTATTTTTCCTACATATCAAATGTCCCAGAGATTATAACAAATGGGCTCACCTTATATTTATAAATCTCAACGACTTAGATTAGACAGAATGAACTAAGTACATGTGGGGAGGGATAGCTCAGTGGTTTAAGCATCGGCCTGCTTAAACCCAGGGTTGTGAGTTCAATCCTTAAAGGAGCCATTTAGGGATCTGGGGCAAAACCAGTACTTGGTTCTGCTAGTGAAGGTAGGGGCATGGACTCAATGACCTTTCAGGGTCCCTTCCAGTTCTATGAGATAGGTAAGACTGACAGGAGCTGAAATTCTACTTGAGGTTAGATGCAGGTTCACCAGATTTTCAAAAACTGGGTTGAAGTGAATTTGAGTTTCCTATTGTAGCAATTAAAGCTGAACAAATAATAATACATTATTTATTCACTGATTTCTTGCCTCTCTCAAACTGTTTGCAAGCAGATTGCAAAACTCTAGAATTTGCTCTACCATCTGAATTCATCATGAGTTGCTTCACATTCTTTCCTTTCTTACAAAGATTGTATGAACAGAATCTTTGAGTTGAAGGGAGTATGTTGTAGGGTGCGATTTGTAATTGGATATAGCAAGTGTTCAGCATCTTGCCACAAGATGCTGAGCAACTTCAACTCCCAAAAACTTCATCATACATTGTACACAGAATTTCACAGGGTCAGATCCATACTTCCTACTTATCAAGCTTACTCAACCCTTTAACCTGTTTTCCTGCTTATTCTCCATTCAGACCAGTTGTACAAAGAAATGATTCATTAGCATAGGTTGGCTCTAAAATAGAAACCAAGGGCTATATGTCATGCCATCAGTTTCAGAGCAGAACTTTCCATTGATTTCATTGGCCCAAAACATATCCCTAAACTTCTAGCTTTGCGCTGCCTGCTGCGGTCACACAGAATTCTAGCGAGACGAGGTGGGTGAGGTAATATCTTTTATTGGACCAACATCTGTTGGTGAAAGAGGCAAGCTTTCAAGCTCCACAAACCTGGAGAAGAGTTCTGTGTAGCTCGAAAGCTTGTCTCTCTCACCAACAGACATTGGTCCAATAGAAGGTATTGCCTCACCTGTGTTGTGTCTCAAATATCCGGGGACCAACATGGCTACAACAATATTGACAGACAGAATTCGAGTTGGTTGAGGCCTTTCCGCACCGTTAGGTCCCATAGAGCTGGAAGAGTGTTTCTTCAGATACCCCTCCACCCCATGCCTTCTACACTGGTAGGAAAAATGGTTCTACAGGCTCTCCAGGTTTACCATATAAAGAAAGCCCATTTAATTAAAGACTCAACCACTAAAGTGACTCATTTTTCAATCTTTTAATCCCTTTCATATGCCGTTCCATGTTATTTGTACTTTGTAAATGCATAGCTTATAAAGGGAAGAGTGGGATGTGTGGTTTGCTTAAAACCATCAAAAAAACCTCTCATGTCTGGTTCCTTTGGCAGATCTCAGTCACTTTATCCACACTACATGGTGATGTGATAATTAGGCACCACAAACCAACTAGATTACTGCTGAGGTACCACCTGATAACTGTTTACAACTTCAACAAGGCCTGAGAAGCTGAACGTCTCTCAGTCATAGATCTGTATGGAGATGGGAAAACAAGTTCTAGAGTTTGGAGATTTTTTTTCTTCTTCTTTTAAACTTCATGTTACCACAAAGTAGTAAACCTTCCTTAAAGGAATTACCTGCTAAATGAACTCAAATTCATGGCAATTTGCTGAGTCCATTAAGCCCCCTTGACTATATATAAAATTAGGACACTCCAAAAAAACTATTGAGAAACTTTAACTTGTGCCTTTTGTATTCTTGATAACAGGATTAACAATTCTATCTTCAGCTCTATGTATGGCCTGCCTTTCTGAAATGAGATAGGTCCTTTCACAATCAAAAGAGAACAAAGATCCAAAAAAGAATTGTAGTTTTACATAAAGACCCCTCAATATCTTTTTCTCAGACATGCCATATTTCCACTCTTATGGAGTCAATCAGGAAAAATGTCAAATACCTTTTTTTCAGTTAATTGTGCACATTGCTCAAATACAGTAATATAGTTATATGGAGCATCAATCAACAGTAGTTGAATTTTGGTTTCGTTTTGGGAAGTGGAGTTTCTGAAAAATTTGAATTCAAACATTTATGATACTTTAGAACTCAAGAACCACTTTATGTTGCCACAGTTGTTTATATTTCAACTCTTTAGAATTAAAAACTTTACATTGTTAGGTATTTTACAAACATCAAGGGTCTTAATTAACTCTAAAGTATTTTAAGATACAGTTTGTATGAAAGAAGCTGTACAAAATAAAGTGTATTGCATTGCAATGAAAGTTTTGTCTGGTAAAAATATCTAATGACAGGTTTCAGAGTAGCAGCCGTGTTAGTCTGTATCCGCAAAAAGAAGAACAGGAGTACTTGTGGCACCTTAGAGACTAACAAATTTATTAGAGCATAAGCTTTCGTGGACTACAGCCCACTTCTTCAGATACATTCTTCCGATGTAGTCCACGAAAGCTTATGCTCTAATAAATTTGTTAGTCTCTAAGGTGCCAAAAATATCTAAGAACTTCCTATAACATTTAAAGCGTTATTAAGTAAATGAAAGGATATGATTTATGACACAGTATCCTGTGTGGGTTTATATGTAAAATGCGGTATTTTTGTCATTTTAAGATTATTATAATTGTTTAATCAAATCAATAGTAAAGAACATAAAGATGCTAATCTGCAAAGCAAACTAAATAGCATAAGAATGGATAATGAGTTAACTGATATGATTTATTTTTATTGGTACATTTGTGTTTATCTAAACAAAGTCCCTTTTGACAACCTTATTCAGTGCCTGATAAGGGACCTTTAAACAAACTGTGCAGTAGCTCCAGCTAGTGTGAGATGAGATCTAGTACGGTTTTCAGTAGAGCTAGTCAGAACATTTTTCTGAAACTACTGTTTTGTTACAGCATTTTACAGAAACCTATATCACTTCTTACAACCCTACTTTTGCCAAGAAGCTTTTCAGCTATGTGAATCATGGGAGAATGGCAAGGAATAGGACAGGGAAGACTGATGACAGCTGGGTTATTAGGGCACTGATGTTGAAGATCCAGGTTCAAATCCTTGCTCAGCATGATTTGAAGTGATCTGGGATGAAAAACTCTGCTCTGAATCAACCAGAGTAGGACTATGAAGCTGGGCCTCCCAAATACCAGTTCAATACTCTGGCCACCCATACCATTTTCAAAAAACACATTTGAAAAGTTTTCTTCAATGTGGACCAAAACCAAATTTGAAACCTCGAAAGTTGCTGTGGAATTGTTGTTCTCTGGTCAGCTCTAGTTGTAAGATGGTAGGTACAATTCCGATCTCATTTACAATGGTGTAAAAGTGGTGTAATCCATTGCCTTCAATGGCATTACTCCTGATTTACACTGTTGTAAGAGACCAGAGATTAGGTCTTTGGATTTTTTGAATGAATGGGACAAAGAGTTTAGACTGCTGTAAAGTTCTCAGGTGCGGGTATATTTACAATGTGCTGTGTGGAAAGAGACAGGGAAGGTGGGTAGATACAGAGGGCACAGCCATTAAAACCAAACATCGATCCATGTCAAATATCAATCCATGTCTACTACTGTTCTGTTAGCTGATGCTGCACAGCCAGGCTTTAAATTCCCTCTGGATCTATTCCCTCTTTTGTGCAGGATGACACTGGATGCCAGTGAAGCAAAGGATAACATTTTTAGTCATGCAAGACCTCCCCCCCATGTCTCAGGTCAGTAGGGTCTGGCACTGCCTCTCTCTGAAATTAGACACACAACCTGATCTATACAAATTAAAAGGGAAGGAAACACCTTTAAGGGAACTGAAATGCTTTGAAATTAAGAAACAAAAACAATCCTGCACAAGTGCCCAAGT